TATCTTTTCATTTAAACTTTTTGTCTCTATCTGTCTAGAGAATTGTGTGCACAGAATTGTGCCTCGATCCAGTTTTAGTACCTGATTCATGCTGCCGGTGGTGGTAGTTGTGTTCCATCAAGTCAGTTCCGACTCACAGCAACCTTGTATAGAGTTTCTGAGGCTGTAAATCTTCACAGGAGCAGAAAGCCTCCTCTTTCTCCCATGGAGTGGTTGGTAGGTTCAACTTGTGGTTGGCTGCCCAATATGTCACTCACTATGCTACACAGGCTTTGAAAAATAAATTCAAAGTTCCCTGCTTTTTATGTTTGTACTAAAGCAGTTTATATACACTGAAACTGTGTTCCAGGAACTTGCCATGAAACCATGGGAATCCAAAACTTTCTATTGTTCAATATGTTTTCTACTAGTACTACAGTGGATTTAATCAGAATGTGAGAAATTTTCTGTTTTGTTTTAGTAGTTAGCTTGTTTAGCTGGGAAACTCCACATGCTCATAAAGTCTGCACATATGAGGAGGCTTCAAAAAGTTTCTGGAAAATGCAATTAAAAAATAATAGAATTTTTCCTTGAACTTTTTGATGTTCCCTTGTGTCATTCTTCCCTCAAGGCATTGAAAAGGTTCAATTAGCTCTGTTTATGTCCCTCATTCTGGTTTCAACTTTAAGTACCTTTAACCAGGAGACATGGAATGTAGCTACTTTTGATTTCTTATCCTTGGTATGGGAGTCCTGGTGTGGTGCTGTGGGCTAATGCGCCAGACTGCACAGCCATTTGAACTGCAAGTTTGGTGGTTCAAGTTCACCAGCTGCTCCTCAGAAACCCTATACAGGGTCGCTATGGGTTGGAACTGACTCGATGGCACTACACAACAACAACAACAATTGTTGGTATGCAAAAATAAAATAAGGCACCAGAGAAAATGAATTACAGTTAGAAAATAAGATAGAAGACTAGTATTTTTAAAAGCAATAAATTCAAGAAATAAATTGTTTACAATTTATAATAGTTTGGAAAAAGGTATGTTAAAATATACATACATTGTGGCTTTGATTTTTCCTTTGGAAGTGTAGAATTTCTCGTCATTATTGTATTCATCAAATACTCCCCATCGTAGATGAGCCCATTCATGGACAAATGACCTACCTGTAAGAAAATATTTTAAATAACTGAATACAATCCAAAACTACAAAAGCTATTTTTGTGGAGTTGACTCTGGCTCATAACAACCCTATAGTAGAGAACAGAACTGCCCCATAGAGTTTCCTAGTCTGTAATCTTTACAAAAATGGACGGCCCCATCATTCTCCTGCAGAGTGACTGGGGGCTTGAACAGCCACATTTTAGTTAGCAGCTGACTGTTTTACCACTGTGCCACCAGGTCTCCTTCTGGTTACTAAGAATGGCAAAATCACCTTCTCACATTGAATAAAACAATTCTTCAGAACATTTATTATATTTTCAAGAGGAGAATTTTAATAGTTTTTTTTAGATCTATATGTTTTAATTCTTTTAAATTATTTTTCCCAAACTTGGTTTAACACTATGGATTAATGAGCTGGACAGCAAGGTTGATTTGAACTACAGGTCGGCGGTGCAAGCTCACCAGCCCCTTGGAAACCCTACACAGGGTCACTATGAGTCAGAACCATCTCTGTGACACGTAACAACAACAACAAGGATCATTGTTCCCAACATTACTGCCCTGTCTAGCTTTTCCCTTGTGTACATATTCCTGGGACATGAAGCTGAAGGGTTTAGTTGTGTATTGTTAATTCAAACTCAGAAAAGATAAGTTGAGAGGAGGAAACCCAGAGGAGAGAAGGTGTCCGGAGCCCAGGTGTCCTCTATAAAACTACCCTTTGTTTGACAGGAAAAGGGAGTTACTCCCAAAGGATAAAGGGCCCTGAGTTGGTGGAGTGCAGACAGAGTTCCTGGAGAGGAGTGTGCATTAAGCTCTGAGAAAGGGATGTTAATGTCCTTGAGGGTATAAAAACTTCAACCATAAGGAGTAAGCCCTTCAGTCTTTCAGAGAAGGATTCTTGCTTCCTTCCATATCTGTCAATAAAACGTAGCAAAATGCATGTTGATTCTCACCCTATCTCTGTTATTGGCTGCCTAGCTTCTCTTTGGACTTTTGTTCCTAACAATTTGATATATTATTTTAAAATAAAGGTTTGTTTCCTTAGAGAAATCGAATGTGAAACTCCTAAGTCTTTATAAGGACCTCTGATGTGGCGCTGTGGGTTGATGCACTGGACTGCAAGGTCAGTTTGAACCGCAAGGTGGACGATTCAAACTCACCAACCACTACTTGAAAATGCTATACAAGGTCTTTATGAGTCAAAACTGACACGAAGGCAATTAACAACAACAACAAGTCTTTATAAAGTATACAAGTGTACAAGCATACGTAAAAAAATTATTGCTATAAAATCAAGAAAATTTTGCTAAACAAAAAAAAAAGGGGGAGGGGGAAGCTATTGTTCCTTGACGTTTCCTCCATCTTTTTGTTAAGTGCTCATGGAGTCGGTTCCGACTCATAACCACCGATTTTTGGAAGGCATCCTAATGACACTAAGACAAATACGTTACTGGGAGAAGTTGTCGGCAGCCATCCACTTATGGTAGAAACATTTCTGAACAAGTTTAGTTTAGAATAGCCCATGCGTGTATGAACTGGAACCCTAAGTAACAGCACTTTTGACATCCTCATAAATAGATATTTCAGCTCATCAAATATGAAGTGAGCGCCTGGTGGGTGTCAGAAAAAGATAAAATAAGCATCTTGTCCTTAGGTATAGTTCCTGGTCTAGTGGCTGACACACACTGTCAGATAACTACGATGCTTGGTAGTACAGTTGCAATGTTAGGGTTGGTGCAGGCTGCTGTGAGAGCCAGAGGTATCATAGTGCAACCAGGTCAGCAACCTCAACAGGTACTTCACCCTCACTGTTCATTCTAATTCTAATGGAACTTCGAATCTTGCCTACTCCACCTCTACTTTTTTTGCTTAAATCCATCATTACCTTAACCATATCATTTACTTGGACTACCCCCATCTTTACATCTTCCTTTTGAGTTACTGCAACAGCAACCAACAGTTCTCTGTGTTTCTAGTGTCCAGTGGTTCCCCTGTGGTCCTCAGGGTTAAGTCCAACTCCTTAACATGCACCCTGCCTCTCTCTGCAATCTTATCTCTTGATGTTCTGCGTGATTCCTGAGTCCTATCCCAGACTTACTGACTCAGACTGCATTTTCACAAGATTTGTAATTTGAATGTGAATTCTCTGCATCATCAACATCTAGCGGCTACTAATTGAATTGCAGACAGGAAGTTCAATTCATTCACGGAGGTCACCTCACAGATCCAAAAGTGTCTAATTCAAATTTTTATTTAACCATTTATTTGACTAACTCTTTCTTTAGATTATAAGGTCTGCGAGACCAGGTGCTGTATCTCATTTATTTTTATAATCTCTATGCCTAGCAAAATGGTTGATGTTTATAAAGTACTCAATTAAAATTTTTATTTTGGAAGATAGAGAACCCAGATTATTGCAGTACTCAATATATCTTATAAAAAGAAAAGAGAAGAAACATTGAAAAGATAGACGTGGCATTGACAAATCCTTCAGTATACAAGAAAGTGTTTTTTCTTATTTCTGTCATATCTTACATAACAAAAAATGTTCTAGAAAACAGTAAGGAGAATAAACAGCTTTTGCTGGCAGACTAGTAGTATCCTATAACTCAGGATATGGAATGAAACGAAGTTTTAACATGTGGAATTTGACTCTACGCTATTCTGTATTTTAACATTATAATCACATTTACCTTATAATTGAATAACGATATACCTATATTAAATTATTTTACTGTTATCTGAAGCTATAAAAGGCTTTATTTATATGTCTTTACACAAGATGTTATTATTGATGCTATTACGGATCACCTTTTAACAAAAGACTGCTAAATTATGAGTAGTATAGTAGATATTTCATTTGTAACCATACCTTGTGGCCCATACTCAGGCAACTTTTTTCCTGCTAAGAAGTCAGGAGTGAAGTACATCCTTTCACCCTTTTCTCCACAGTTCCCAATCTGCTCAGTATAGGGGTTATCATTACCCAGAGGACTGTCTTTAACAACTAGGACATCAGCCTGAAATTTAAGAAAAAACTTTTAATATAAAAAAATTTCAGTAGATGAATTAACCTTATTCAAATAATTTCATTTGATTCCATAAAATTTGATTAAAAATCTAGATTACTGGAGAAAATTGAATTTGAATGAAGAACTTGATATTCTCACATTTTTGTAGGTCTCGAGTTTTGGTCTCACATACTCAGGTTTTGTCTTCCATTTTGCAGGAATCAAAATGGCAACATTTTTGAAATAAAATCTTTTCTCTGTAGCTTTAAATAGATATGGCGATGCCTGGGTCACCATGTCCTGGAGAGAAAAAAATATGTCTATATATGTAGCAAGCACAGTTATGACTGAAAATGAGCTCAATCACCAATCATCTGTATTTCATATTTTCAAAGATGAGATATTCAGCAAGATGGGAAGGGGAAATTTGGAAAGAGCTTTATTAAAAATAATAGTTAACCTTTGTTTGGGTGCTTAGCACATACTCTGCATTACAGTATAGAGGTTAACAATGCTAACTCCAGAGTCAAACACTACCCCTGGCTCCATAATATATTGGGGATATCAGGTAATTCCTTAACCTCTCCTGAACCTTAATTCCCCAATTTATAAAATGAAAACTCTTTTAATTACTAGCTCACAAGGTTGCTGTGAAGGTCAAATGAAGCTAAACATGTGGCATAATTGGAATTATGTTTATATTTCAATTGCTGTTAAGTCAATTTTGATTTACTGTGACCCTATGTATTTCAGAGTGGAATTGAGTTTCATAGGACCATCAGTGGTTGTGATTGTTAGGAAGTCGATCACCAGACCTTTCTTCTGAGGGGCCTCAGGGTGGATTTGAACTGCCAACCTTCCAGTTAGTAGTGTTTAACCATTTTCACTATCTACTGACTCTATTTAGCATATGTTGTTGTTAGTTGTCCTCCAGTGGATCATTACTCATGGTGACTTAGCACATGTTGTTAAGTGCTGTGTAGTCAGTTCTGACTCGTAGCAATCCTGCATAAGATTTCCAAGGTGGGCTTGAATAACCAAGCTTGTGTAGCAGTTCAGTGCTTAGCCTACAGTGCCACACCAGGATACATATTGTTATGTGGCATTGAATGGATTTTGACTCATAGTGACCTGATATAGGATTTCTGAGGAGCAGGTTTGAACTGCCGACTTTGTGGTTCACAGTCCAGTGCTTACCTTACAGTGCTACTCCAAGACACATAGTAAGTCCTTATTAAATGCTAACTGTTTAATTTCATTTCATTTGATCCTTTTGAGATCAGTAAAACTATGAGTGAAAAACAGAATTAGAGAGTACAAATCTCAAGCTCTTAGAGCAGGTATAGTAGAGAGAAACTCTAAAAGTCACTATGAATGCCAGATCTGCTGGGTTCTGTAATATATTTTTGAAAAGTTTTCAGCATACTAAATGTATGGTAGTGGTGGTGGTGTGCCGTTGACTAGGTTCCGACTCATAGCGACCCTTTATAGGGTTTCCGAGGCTGTTAATCTTTATGGGAGCAGAAAGCCTCATCTTTCTCCAGTGGAACCGCTGGTAGTTTCGAACTTCTGACCTTGAAGTTAGCAGCCCAACTCGTAACCACTACCTTACCAGAGCTCCTTTACTAAATGTATAGTAATAGATATTTCTGATACGGTATTAAGAGTCCCGGTGTGGTGTTGTGGATTAATTCGGCAAAGTCGATTGAATTGCAAGGTTGGCGGTTCATGATGAAATAATGAAAAACACACACACATAAATAAGGGATCTTTGCTTTGGGATTTGTTTAAAATTTTGAGAAGGTAACATCATATTCAAATAGACATTTAAACTTTGCAGGCTAAGACAAGTTTGAGGGTGACAGTTTATAAAAATGTACTGGAATTCCTTAAGGACTAACCCCAAACCAAACTCATTGCAATTGAATTGATTCCCACTCATGGTGATGCCATGTGTTACACAGTAGAATTGCTCCAAGAGTTTTCTTGGCTATAATCTTTACAGAAAGAGACAGTTAGAACTTTTGTCCATGATACCTCTGCATTAGTTTAAACTGCTAAACTTTAGGTTAGTTGTTAAGTGTGGTCCAGTTAGTTCTGACACATAGCAACCCTGTATAGGGTTTCCAAGGAGCGGCTGGTGAGTTCGAACCACTGATCTTGTGGTTTAAACTTATCTTGAGGTCCAATGTTTATCCTTCAGCACCACACTAATACTCCTTAGGTTACTAGTCAAACACAATTTGTTTGTGACAATAAGGTATCTCTTCCTTTAGGACAAGAGTATACTGTGCACTATTGGATTTCTAGTGTTGTTGTTAGGTGCCATCGAGTTGGTTCAGACTCATAGCAACCTTATGCAGAGCAGAACAAAAGACTGCCTAATCCTGGGCCAACTACACAATTGTTGCCACGGTTGAGCCCATTGATGCTGCCACTTGGCCAACCCATCTCGCTGAGGGTCTTCCTCTTTTTCTCTGACCCTCCACCTTATCAAACATTGATATCCTTCTCCAGTGACTGGTCCATCCTGACAATATGTCCGAAGTATGAGAGATGAAGTCTGCTCATCCTGGCCTCCAAGGAGCATTCTGGCTGCACTTCTTCCAACACAGATCTGTTGGTTCTATGGGCAGCCTATGACACTCTCAATATTCTCCTCCAACATCATAACTCAAATACATCAATTCTTCTATGGTCTTCCTTATTCACTGTCCAACTTTCACATGTATATGAGGTTATTGAAAATACCATGGCTTTGGTCAGGTGTACCTTACTCCTCAAGCTGACATCTTTGCTTTTCAACACTTTAAAAAGGTCTTGTGCAGCATATTTGCTTAATGCAATATGTCATTTTATTTCTTGACTACTGCTTCTGTGAGTGTTGATAGTTGATCCAAGAAGAACAAAGTCTTTGACAATTTCAAT